CTAATTCTTATAATGCAAACAAAAGTGATCTGAAAAATTAATGACTTTTTGACATCATTGCCTGTAACAATAATGAACAAGAAAAATAGCCCTGTGTCCCAGACGGATGAAAGGATAGCCTATTAGATATGCAAATTAATTCTGATAATGTTTAAGTCTATATAGCACAGCAGGAGAGAGATGACACACATTGCAACTCTGTTAGCGCAGGCTTCTATGGAAAGAAATCCCAGCCTGGGCGGATGAAACAATGGAACTTTATTTCTCATTGTTCCGGAAACTGGCACTTTCAGACCAAGATGCTCTGGGGGACAGTGGTATGTGCTAGGTTGGTTCCTGAGGGGCAGAAAACTGTGCCTCCCTGTGTCCTAACATCCTGTTTGTTCCACGAATGAGGGTGGGAAGAGGAAGAAATTTCCATCAATCTCTTCTAAGAATACTAACCCTTAGGGCTGGAGAGATGACTCAGAGGGTAAGAGCACTGGCTGCTCTTCCAGAGGTCCTGAGTTCAATTCCCAGCAACCAACCACACCGTGGCTCACAGTCGTCTGTAATGAGACCTGGTGCCTTCTATGCCAGCAGAACATTGTATGCTTAATAAATAAATAAATAAATAAATAAATAAATAAATAAATAAATCTTTTTTTATAAAAGAGTACTAACCCAACAGTACTAATCCAATCCTCATTGCCTATCTAAATAATCACCCCTAAATACTCAGTCTCCAAATGCTATCACATTAGGATATACGATTTAAGTATATGCCTTCATTAGAGACACAAAAACCTGAAAGTTTGAGGAAGTTAGTTATAATTTCTACTATTATTATTGTCGTTGTGCCTCCACCATGCTATTTACGTACATTATGCTAAAAGAGAACTCACATGGATTTCCTAAATACATATATTATGTATGTGTGCGCACAATTAGGTGTACTTTCTCCCGAAATAAATCTGTATAATTTTATGCGCTATTGGTCAATAAAAACAACAATGTAAAATGAGACCATTCAGGAGCAATTTTATTAGAAGTTCACAATTTTTTTTCAGCAGCTGAACAAAGGTTACTTACTGTCCACCCATGAAGACAAAGAGGAAAATAAAGTCCTATTTTCCATTTATTATATTAACCAGCCAGTTCAAAACTGACCTTTCTAGAGCTAAGCTTTCAACAACAGTTTTCTGCTTCTAATTCTAGTGATATTAAGTACTGTGTTGGCAGAAGCACAAACTTTACAGCAATTTAGCAAATCGTGCACATATGAGAAGTGTCAACAGGGCTCTTCACAAGGCTTCGGGAAACACGCATCCTGCCTTGGTTATTTAGCCCTGTTAAGCAATTTGGATTCAATGCAAACTCTTGAGAAATATTGATCACAATATGTGTACACAACGAAGGCTCGACACGAGCTGCAAGACTATAATTAGTAACCCTCGGAAAGCGAGCTGCAGCTTGGGCAAGAATGAAAACACGTTTGGGGTAACTTTTAACTCCAAGCTGCACGCTTGTGACTATAGATTGTTTACAGATGCCATAGTTTTCTATACTCACAAAACTGAGTCCATCGCGCTACGTAAGTTAAACATGTTGTTTTCAATTATGCCCACTTGTTAGTAATTTGCTTATTTGCTCAGTACGCCTAGACAGAAACATTAAAAATAGTATCATCCAAAACAGCTCTGATTCTTAAATAAAACATGAGCTGAGTTTTTTTTTTTTAAAAAAAAAAAACTCAATGCTCTGTGGGGCACGTGAAATAAGATCACCCCTACTTTGTAGAACTCTTGGTGTGAATAGCCAGGTAATAAGAATGAATAAATCGCAACTCACTTATTAATATAGCATTCAGTGCCCAGTATAGCTTTGTGTAAATTGTTGTGTTTGACCTTTATATAACTGTGTTGTGAAATGAGTAGTCCTAGTGACACTGTAAAGAGAAGTTGGATACTGATAAGTGGCCTTGCTGAGGAAGACACAGATCAGAACAGTTAGGTTATATATATATATATACATATATATATATGTATGTATATACATATATATATCTATATATATATATATATTGGTTTTTCGAGACAGGGTTTCTCTGTAGCTTTGGTGCCAGTCCTGGAACTAGCGCTTGTAGACCAGGCTGGCCTCGCAGTTAGGTAATATTTTTAAATAAAGCATGGCCTGATTATTCTTTGTGTGAAGAAAATCTCAGCCCATGGTGCTTCCATAGATTTGAATAGGTGGGTGGAGTCCCGTTCTTAGCGCTTTTGAAGTGACTTACAATGTGATAACAGAGTGATGAGATAGTTCATCGCTCAAACAATCCAAAGTTAAAATTTGAAACTACATAAAAAGAAAAAAATAGTTTCTTTTCTTCATGAATGTAGACATATGTACTGATGTGGCCCAGGAGCCAGGAGTAGAGCTGGTGCCAAGACCCTGAACAGTGCAAGAAAAACAGTAAAGCAGCAACCAGCACCCGCTGAGTTTAGTTTACCCGGGACATCTGCTTTGCTTTCTGGCCTCTAACTGTAAGTCTCAGTTGCTCTTTCTTCCACCCAAACAGCATCCATGGCACACACAACCACATTAAGGGGCTGTGGTGAAGTTTGAATTAAAAGGTATTTATAGAAATAAGAGACACAAGTCAGGGACAGTCCAGAATCCTGTTGCAAGCGTTGTCAAACCATTTCCATCCTTGGGCTGAAGATGCAAGACAAGGCTGACAAGGATTCAGCTCCTGAAATCTGAGTGCAGATTCTATATGAAGGAGGCAACCCGACCTGTGATCTTCAGTGTCCCAATGCATGATGAAACGGATGGACTAGAGTTTAGGGAGTAACTCAAAATCTTATTCCATTCCCTGACTCTGATCTTCAGCCAATGATTTGTAATCAGAAACTAGATAAAGAAATTCACAGGATCTTCCTAGACAGAGAGCAACGTACAGCAGGACGGACAACAGACCTTCAGGGGCAACCAGAAGTTATCACATGCTGAAGAAAAAAACTTCTAAAACTTAACAACTCTTCAATTAGAGCCTCAACCTAAAAGATTACTGTGTAAGGACGTAAGGACAGAGGAAGAATCCAGATGAATTATGAAGGGCAAATATTTACGGAATAATGACATTTAATGGTGTATCTGGTTTTTTGGTTTTTGTAATGTGTGCATCTGGTGTTAATCAATTATAAGTCCATAATTTGAGCAAATAGGCTGTAAATTGGGATACAGAGATAAGAAAGAGAGAGACTGAGACAGAGAAAGACAGAGAATATGAACACAACACTCAATGCAGCCCACAAGCTTATAGGAAAGACTTGGGCCACCCATTACATGGAGAACTATGGTAACCAGTTCAGGAGAAGGAGGAGAAAGGAAAGCAGAGAGAAAGGAAGATGCCATCTTGCCACAGGATGTCTATGAGAGAATATGCCCATAAAGTGTCTAATAAAACCATTCGAGGTGATACCAGAAAATGTAATTACATGAAAATAAGTTGTACAAAAGTGGATTGTATGGGAACACATGAAAAAGAGGCATAAAGACAAGAAATATTAACTCATTATATGTCAATTTCCTGTATGAAGTATCTTTCTGAGCATTGTTTTAGATGACTCTGCACCCAATTAAGAAGAGGTTAGAAGGAAACAAGGCATGCGTCCTGGAAAGTCGCTTTCTCAGATGATATGTTAGTCACACCACACAGAAAATCACCTAAACCTAATGCCTCAGTTGCAGCAATCCTTTCTTTACTGATGATTTTAGATTCTTCTCGAAGTTGATTTCGAGAATTCATTCACACTCTGATGGCAAGAGAATAGGTCCACTGGTTTTTTCTCACGGGTTCCAGTATTAGCCATGGAACGAACATTGCAAGACTATTTTAACAATTTGGCAGTTGAGTGCAGGCTCAGCTGCTGGGGTCTGAAACATTGGCATGCGTCGCGCAACTTCCCTTGAATCTAGGTTTCTCCTTTTGCAAAATGAGGATAATTGCTACCAGAAGATGGAGCAATCCCTTTCATGTTGTGACCAAACAATTCATCTCAGTGTGCATAAACAAGCAAATGTATTAACTCATGTAACCCCAAGTCCAAAATTGGCTTCTCATCAGGCGTAATTTGGCCTATCAGCAGCTTTCCCAAATGAGTATCCCTCCAGCTGTCCCTACTGCCTCCATTTATAGGATATGAGAGAGGGCCTTTCCCAAAACTCCTCTCAACCCTTGATTAGCATCAGCCTACTGTCAAAAATAGCTACAGGAGATTTCTAGTCTCATCTCCCTGGTTCTTACTGGATTCTGGTCCCATCCACATCTGATTGCAATGGTTAATGTGGGCCTGTGGAATAGCTTGAGCTAATCAAGTTCGAGGGCAATGGTTCTCAACCTTTCTGGTGCCGCAACCCTTTAACACAGTTCCTCGTGTTGTGGTGACCCCCAACCATAAAATTATATTCCTTGTTACCTCATAACTATAACTTTGCTATTGTTATGAGTCATAATAGAAATATCTGTGTTTTCTGATGGTCTTAGGCAACCCCTGTGAAAGTGTCACTCGCCCCAAAGGGTGGCTGAGAAACCCTGCTCTAGACCTACAAATTCCTACTCTATGGGAAAAGGATCAATCATACAAAGTAAGGTTTGAGAATGGGAAACGCTGTTTTGCCTAAGGAATTCTGGTGCAATCGTACTAAAAACAGAATAGTAAATACTGAACAGGAAAACGTGGCAGGCTCATTCATGGTTCGATTCAGTAGTTGTGTAAACAGGGGGGGTAATGTGTAGAAACTTCTGGAAAAGAATATAGTGTTGAAATAGGAGCGGCAGGGCTGCGTCCCCGGCACCCGGCCGCCCGCATGGCTAGCTTATGCCCGAAATAATTACACGGAAACTGTATTCTTTCAAACACTGCCTGGCCCGGCTAGGTCCGGCTTCTTATTGGCTAGCTCTTACATATTGTTCTAACCCATTTCTAATATTATGTGTAGCCCACGAGCTGGCTTACCAGGGAGGATCTTAACCTGCGTCTGTCTGGAGCGGGAGAATCATGGCGACTCCTTCACTAAGCTTCTTTTTCCCAGCATTCTCTTCTGTCTACTCCGCCTACCTAATTTTCTGTCCTATGAGGGCCGAGGCAGTTTCTTTATTATTAAGAAATCACTCCCACATCAATATAGATGTATTTTTTTTCTTCAATGACAAGCAAATGGAAGTCACTTAAAATTCAGCCATTCACTCTTGGGTATGAGCCAGACTGCAGACTGTCGCAGGTGATATGAAAGGATTTAGAAGGTTAAAAGCATGCTGCACAGCTTCGTGGAACTGAATTTTGCCGGGAATGACGTGTAAACAAAAATGCCACTCCCCAGAAGAGCCAAGTGGTCAGCATAGAGGAAAGTCCACCGCTGCAATCTTATGGGAAGGAATAAGGTGGCTTAGGCCACCCCCAAACAGCCCTAAAATCAGCCTCAGCACCTTTCACCCTGCCCCTTGCATAAAGGTGCCTTTCCTCTATGACCCTGCACCAGAAGGACTTGAGCCCCTAAGCAGCTTCAACTGAATGCCCTTTCCATGACTGAGCAGAACGTCAGTGGTATTGGGCAGTGAGAAGGTTACACTGGCTTTTTAGAAACTGCAACACTTTAATCACAGCCATGACTTTAAATTCCGACTGGGAAACATAAATCGCCTGTCTTTCCTGCTAACTGCGTCAGGATAATCCAAGCCACGCCATTTGTGGCTTGCTCTGCTTTCAGACCTGCTAAATCTCATTCCGCGCCGCAACGGTTTGATCACGAAACTCCACAAGGTGGCAGCAGAGGAGTCTTCATGCAGGCTAAGCTGGTGGAGAAATCAAGCCTGTAGTGTTCTCACACACTGACTTCAGAGTAAGGCAAATGGAACAAGGTCTGAGAATTGACCAGGCCGTCTGTGCCTGCTGCTTTTCGGAGGAGACCCCGGGCTAGAGTGGGAACATCCAGTATTCTGTGTGAGGAAAAGTTCAGGCTTTTCTCTCTGGTTCGTTGCCATGCCGCAAGATAAATACAGCATTATTGTCTCGATGACTAATGAGCCAAATGTGTAAACACAAAGGCAGGTTGCTCATAGAGTGGACAGAGTTTTCCTGAAGTCTGTCCAGACCACGCACACTCTCCACACCTACACCCGTGCTTACTGCTGTCTACCGAAATCATAGATCCTTCACTTTGAGATATTTTTAAAGAAATGATTTGGTGCTGTAAAATAATTTGAATCATGGTATTATTGTAAAGAGAAAAATTGGTCACATAGCATAAACATGTCCTTTCTGGGACCTTTTTGCTGATTTTCTGGGAAAAAAATAAATAATGAAGTCATCTGTTTTAAATAGATTTAGAAAATTTGAACAAGATGTGAAGATCAGGGGAAAGTATATAAGTTCTGAGATGAATATAATCACAGCACCAATACCCAGTGTATGCGTTGCTAATTAGAAATTTAGAAGAAAATTAAGAACGTGATGAGGAGTGTTAAATGTCAGCTTGACCTGGGATCCCCTGGGAGACAGGCTTCCAAGCACACCTGTGAGGGATCATGTTGACCATGTTAAATGGATTTGGGAAGATCCATCCTAAAAGTGGCTGGAAAGACCTGGCCGAAGTGAAAAGGAGAAAACAAGCCTAGAACTTATTCCTCTCCCCATTCTGATTGTGGGTCTCATGTGACCAGCTGCTCTAATTATCTCCTCACTATGAAAAATGCAAACCTACCCTGCTCTTGAGCTAGGCGCTCAAATAACCTTTTCTTCTTTTTGGTTGTTTCTGTTGTGCGTTCTTTTATCATAGCAACAGGATAAGATGCATTTTAATTTCATAATGTAAAATGGAGTATAATCTATGATCTCAGCAAATATTTGGGTCATCTTTCCCTTCCTTCACCAGGTTTACACGCAACCTTTTTCCCAATTATAGCAATAGCGGCTATCATTGAAGTCCCTTTCCCTCTCTTAGCCAAGTGGCACACAGGTTCAGAACCTGGCGACTTCCTAGTGCTTGATCCTAAGAGAAATCCACAGAATAAAGACAGCTGCCTAGACTAGCTCACCTTGCTACTTTGATGGGTGTAAATGTACTATGTGTGAAATCACCTAAAAATTCATTTTTATAAGACTCCTTTTATACAGAAATTGAAAATGCTTTCCTAAACCCAGATTGTATAAAATTGAGGGGGGGGGGGAAGGAAAGGAAAGAAAAGGAAAAGAAAGGTGAGGAGAGGAGAGAAGAAAGGAAAGGAAAGGAAAGGAAAGGAAAGGAAAGGAAAGGAAAGGAAAGGAAAGAGGAGATGCATTCTCTAGTTGGGATATTGGTCACCTTGGGAACAACAAAGATGCAACAAAATGGCTGTTCTTTATATTCTGGTGGAAGTTCAGTTTCCTGATAATGTCACTAAAAGCGTAACAAAATTAATTATAAAAGCTTAAGAAACTTCACTGTAAGCAAGACATGTTTTTGTACAACACATGAGTTGCTCATTCTCTTTGCTGAGCCAGGAGACTGAGGAAAGAGAGATGCAGGCAACAGGCATGACACCCGAGGAAAAGTTACGATACTGATATTAATCCTCTCCACCCACGGGCAGCCAATCAAACCAAGCAGAATTAAGAATTAATAATAAATCCAGGCATTCCTGGGTGGCCCCAGGGGAAGAAGAGAAAACCATAAGAGAGAACTGTTTGGTTGGAAGTAAGACCCCAGCCCCCTCACACCCCTATATCCAAGGAGTCTGGGATGTTTGGTAAGAAGCATCACCCTAGCCCCTGGCATCCATTTCAAGCCCTATCTGGACTCCACCTCCAGGAAAGACCGCCAAGTGGTGACCACTTCCCCAGGGAGGGTCATGACCACTCCCACAGGCTATTTAGGCTGACCCCCCCCCCGAAAATGTACACGTGGCCTCTGGGTTTCGTGTGGTCTACCCCTTCCTCCACCCTGCCATGCTTTCCCGGTGCCATCCGGGAGCAATAAAAGAAACATGGGTATCTTTTATTTGGTCTGATTGAAATTATTTGTGTCAGCGGAGAGGTTCGTCAAGAAATATTCCTAAAAAGAACCACATGGCAGGTTGGGGGTGGGGGGAGGCTCATTGTAAGTAACCTGTAAGCGTGGCTCCCGGGCATCTTGGAAGGGGAGTCGCTAATGGCAAATATTCTCAGGGCAGAGTCTGGAATGGGGCAGCTCCAGGGAGCTGGGGCTTGTCTGCTGAGGGCAAGGCCTGGAACCGGGAGATTCCAAACAACCAGCAAACCCTGTTCTGTAGTAAATCAAATCGGGTTGCTCAGTTCCAACTTTCGCTCCCATTTATAGACACTAGGTAACTTTTTCAGTGGAATGCATGTCATTTAATTTTTACAAATGCCAGGTAGGAATTTATGCTCTCTCTAAAGTATCCCAGATGTTACTGCTATGAAGTCTTTTATGTACTATAAAAAGGATTTATTTATTCTAAGGAAATGTGTGGCAACACCTAATTCAATTGGTTTGGCAGATGAATGCTTCAAGCAACAACCTGTTCTTTAACAAATTAGTGAAAATATAAGCCCATTTAAATAATAATGTTAATCAAAATGAATTATATGTAAATCAGAAACATGTTTGAAAAGCACAACCAAATAATACCAGCTAGGCAAAGAAAATAAAATGAAGAAAACTATACACATGCAGTTTGTCTCAGTCTTTTTGTTTGTTTCGTTTTTTTCGTCTCAGAGTTTCTCTGTATAATCCTGGAATTTGCTTTGTAGGCCAGTGCCACCTTGAACTCAGAGATTCACCTACCTCTGCCTCACCAGCACTGGCTACTTTGTCTTAGTCTACTGCTGAAAAACAAAAACAAAAAAAGGAATATACTAAGCAGTAAGAAAGAATAGGATTCCCAAGATGAAGAAAGTAGACTCAGTCTGATGAAAGCCTCAGTCTTCGCTTCCAAGACAGTGCCTTGGTACTTTATGTTCATATGCCATGTGGGTGCTGGGAAATGAACCTGGGTCCTATGGGAGAGCAGTCCGTGCTCTTAACCACTGTGTCATCTCTCCAACCACCCCTGTCCCCCGCCCCTCACTATCCTTATAACAACAGTAAGAACAAACTCATTTAATCCAAATTTGAATTGAGCTTTAGTCTTTGGTTTCTCCCAGTGAACTCGGACACCACAGCACCAATGCTTATGACACTTGATTAAGCATTCGTCAACATGTGCCAGCAATGAAATTTAATGAAACATTTGAGTCACCCAACCAAACATCCCAGCTGAGCTTCAACATCTGTGTGCATATACACGACACAGCAATTTAAAGGAGTGGGATTCGTGATTGGCTCATAGTAGAGAGGAACACAGTCAATCATCTCAAGGAGAGCAGGGAGGTGGGAACAGGTTGGACCAGCTAGGAAGGAATATGGGAGGGCCCAATTCATCGTGGGCAGTGCCACCCCTGGACGGACGGTCCTGGGTTCTACAAGAAAACAGACTGAATAAGACTGAAGACATGGAGAGCAGGTCAGTAAGCAGCATCATTCCACGGTCTCAACATCAGCTCCTGCCTCCAACTTCCTGCCCTGACTGCTCTTCAGAAAAGACTGTTCAGGATGTGTGAGTTGAAGTAAACACTTCCCTCACCAAGATGCTTTGGCCATGGTGTTTCATCACAGTAATAGAAAACCTAATTAAGGCAGGGCTATTAATTCTTTTGGAAACATAAAGATATAACGATACCCCTTTAATGAATACCTCCGAGTCAGCCTATAAGATCCCTTATACAAAGGGATCCTAGCTAAATCTCAGTTGAATGGCTATGTCCATAACTAAACAATTGCCTCAATAGACTCTGTATTATAAAAAGAACTGAGTCATTGCTGGGTATATGAACATTCCAAGTCTTGTGGTAAGTAGCTTGCAATCCATCATTAGAACAACCTCAGAACATGGCACTGGTGTTACTCCTTTTACTGATAGGAAAATCACACAGGAATTAAGGAAACAATGCAAAGATGTGTACTTGGGCACCCTGAAGTCAGAGTGTCCACGTATAGTGATCTTATACCGCTAGGCTAAGATTAACTAACTTAAATACAGTGGGTTCTTTCTTTAGTAAACAAATACAAAATGGATTCACTTAGCGGATTTGCTCATGAAACTGGATTTAATGTAATTTTCTTTAAAACAAACTACTACTATTTCATGTGACTATTTTACATTATGTGGCAGCCAGGACCATCTCTGCTTCTTTCTTAGATTTATTTATTGTGTGTGTGTGTTAGAAGGATGAAAATGTCAGAGGACAAAGTTGTAGGAAGTGACTCTCCCCTTCCACCACGTGGGTACAGGGTCAACAGTTGTCAGGTTTGGTGGCAAATGCCATTGCTGGTTGAGCCATCTTGACTCTCCTATCTTTTGTTGTGGACTATTGCTTTAACTGTGTAAAGATTTGTCTATGCTGGAGAATATTACTTCAACTACGTAAAGGTGTGCGGCTTTTTTTTATGCTACATTTGTTTAACTATGCAAAGATGTGTTGTTGTTTCACCTTGCCTGCCTAAGGCACCTAATTGGTCTAATAAAAAAAAAACAACTAAATGGCCAATAGCTAGGCATAGAGGGATAGGTGGGGCTGGTGGACAGAGAGAATAAGTCTGATGAGGAATCTAGGCTTGGGATAGAGTGAGTAAGAAAGAAAGAGAGAAGCCTGGGCCCAGCCAGTAAGACACAGAGGAAGCAGGAAAGTAGGACAGACAGACAGACAGAAAGAAAGGTAAAAAGTCCCAAGGCAAAATGCAGATGAAGAGAAACAGGTTAAATTAAGTGATAAGGGCTAGTGGGACAAGCATAAGATACAGCCAAGCATTCATAACTAGTAACAAAACGTCTCCGTGTGATGATTTGGGGGCCGGTGGTTCAAGAAAGGCAATGTTAAAAATTCTAATGAAAACTTGGAAAGAATAGGAATCTCTAGTCTAGCATCTTCCCGTGTTACCATCTAGACAAGATGCTCAAGAGTAACTTGAAACTAACAGGGCCTGCAATGGATCTTTGGGGGTTTTTCAAAAAAAAAAAAAATAGGCAGTTCTGTACATGACAAAAAGAAAACACAGGTCAGCAGTCTTTCCCAAAGGAGAAAAGAAACAGAAACTTAGTACTGAGGAAACACAGATGAGGATGAAAGTAAAAGCAAAGAAAACCTAGGAAGGGAAACACTTAAATAAGGGGCAGGGGAGTGCAGAAGATAAATCATCGCGCAAAACTACAGGAGGAGAAAAATTATAATTTTTCCATTGATTTGTTCATGGTGTGTGTGTGTGTGTGTGATAGAGAGAGAGAGAGAGAGAGAGAGAGAGAGAGAGAGTCCATGCCACAGTGATTATGGGGACTTCAGAGAACAACTTGCCAATTCTCTCCCTTCCACCACGTGGGTTCTGCTCTTCACACATCTTTCCTTTGCGGAGCAATCTCACTGGTTCGGCAGAGATAACTGTTGAGAAATTGTGAGAGGAATTTAATTGTCTTACCATCATTTCTATAGAAGGGGTCCTATCAGAATCATGGTTGAGTCTTAGAAAAAGAGGCTCCCGTCTATTCTCCCTCCGGCGCCAACTCAGTCGTCAATCAGCTGGTGACTTTCATTTGAAGAGAAACACAAAATGGGCTTTGATGACTGTCATGGAGTGCTGATTGTGAGACATGTAGATAGGAAATCAAGCCAACCCGTGACACAACCCTGCAGCAACAGCCTAGTCTTAGCTTATCTTCCTAACAGTTATCCTGATCTGGAACGCGGAATATTTTAAAATTATTATTATTATTATTATTATTATTATTATTATTATCTATCCATTCTCCTTTGGTATATGAGTGCAATAGGAATAGGAACTTCATGTTACTAACAACTTTTAGAAAAAAGATGGACATATACTTGGTGACGGTTTTGAGGTGAGAAATGAATGATATAATATTTCAATACCAACGTTTAATCATCTGCTTGGACCCTCTATTCACCAGGGTCTTTAGTGTGATCATAATGACACCATTTCCCCTTATCCAGCCAGCAATCCCTTCTGACTACTCAGAAGATGGGGGGGGGGATGCCGGGGCCTAGACTGAGTTTTGGTTTAATGGTCAATTTCTGCTGCTCCATATTGAATAAAATACACAGGCGGCTGGGGAACTGGATAAAACATTCTGGTAATAGCTCAAAAAGATGCCTTTTGCACATTCAAGAATTAAAATGAATTCTAACTAGATACGAAGTCAAGTCCCAAAATGAAATAATGAAAGATTAGCATTTTATGAAGAAACAGAAGGGAAAGAGCCTGCAAGACCACACCCCTTGGGCAACTTTACCTATGTATCTGGCATGAAACCTGCCCCGGCTGTCAACTGACAACTCCTGTATAGGGCGGAAACCATCACGTGGTACCAGTAAACGTTTTACAGGCTGCAGTGTACCATCCTTTAGGGCAGACTTAGCTATGTTCTATTAACTAGTGAATCACATGAGAGATGGTAGAAAGTATTGTTGTGGTTATCATGAAGGGTGTCATGAGTTCTCATGAAAATTCAGCAGCTCCTCTACTATTTTTAAATAATCCCTAGGCCTCCCCGGCTTCATCAGATTTCAGTGAATACGTTTTCCTAACAGATTAGTTTTCCCAAACAAGTCTTTGGGATAACTTCCTTTCTCCATATAAATCTGGACCAGTGTGTTCTAGTCAAAGTGTTATGGTACCTCCTTATTTGGTCATATGGTACCTCCGTATTTGGTCCTATGGTACCTCCATATTTGGTCCGCTTGGTGGACAGCAGCCCACAGACTCACAGTGGGGCGGCTTCTGTATTAAGACAAAGCTGCTGGATATATCTTTCCCTTTTCACTGCGAATGCCTTTTTCCCTCCCTCTCATGACATAGACAAATGTTGATGTTTACTACAAGGCAGTACATTAGTTGCTAATTAAGTTCCTAGACGCTTCAGCCAAAACTTGTTGTATTGAATCCAAGAAAAGAATGGCAGCTATATCAAAAATAAGTTGTCGAGGGTTTTGGTTGTTGTTGTTTTGTTTTATTATAAGAGAGTTGTTTACTAAGGAACACAGGGAACTTACATACTGGAAGATAGGAAGCTGTAGGTCTTGGCTTCCTCCTAAACTGAGTTGGTGGCTAAAGTCAGCCTGCATCTGTCACCAGGCAAGCCCAGGTCAAAGCTGTATAAATATTATACTACCCATCAAAGCAGGAGAAAATAAAGCTGTTTAGATAGAGTTCACTTTTTATACTTACGTTCCAGTTCTGGGAGGAACAAATTAGTTCTTGGGACCCCACTGGGTGTGAAGTTTACAGTTCCTAGGGTGCAGAAGCGCCTCCTGGAGTTCAATTCTTCTGGATCCTCCCTTCATCGGTTCCGCTCCTACCCGTCGACCCCCACAAAGGAGAGTAACTCATTTTTTTTTTCCCTAATCAGGGCTTAGGCAATTCTTTATCTCTCTCCCCCCCCCCCCCCGCCCCGGCCCTGAGACCTTCCTTGCCCCCTACATGGTAACTGAGAAGGGAGTCCGGTCTTGTAAACAACACGCCACTGGGGCGACAAAATATCCGCAAATAAACATTGCAGAGCATCCTCTGCTTTCTTTACACAAGGGGGAATTCGCTTTCCCTTCCGGTTTCCCACTTTCCCCGTGGTGATCTTGACAAAAGTTCTCGCCTAACCGGCTGCGTCTACGGACCGCCTCCTCCCTCACGAAACTAATTCTCTGGCCCGGAAGTTGATTTTGACGTTCGTAAAGTCCGGAGAAGAGAATCGAAACAGAAACAGATCCTGCAACTTCTGTGACCTGTGGGTGGAACACAGCGCTTAAAGCTCCCTGCGCGGGCGACCAGAGCGCATCAGTCGCAGAGCGAGAGTGGTCCGGAGTCTACACCCACCCGCTGCAGCGCATTCCTGGCCCACTTGCCACCTGCCAGGAACCACCGATCAATCCACCTGAAGCCACCAGTACCTGCAGCGACCAGGCAGCATCGAAGGGGACCCACACCCACCTGTGGATCGTCCGCCCTCCCGCCCGCCGGGGAGACTCCTCTCCCTTTCCGTGAGAACCAAGGATGTCGAACGTCTGTTCGACAGAGGACAGCTTCCGCTATCTCATCTTAATCTTCAGGACCAGGTTGAAAAGGTCCTTTCAGGTGGAGCCGGTGTTGGACTACCTGACCTTTCTGACCGCAGAAACCAAAGAGCAGATTCTGAAGCAGGCCACCACCGGTGGGAACACCAGCGCTGCGGAAATGCTGCTGAGCACCTTGGAGAAGGGGAAGTGGCCGCTGGGCTGGACGCAGACGTTCGTGGAGGCCCTGGAGCGCAGTGGCAGCTCCCTAGCCGCCCGCTATGTCAGACCCAACGATCTGCCCTCTCCCTCCTATGAGACTGCCCATGACGAATGTCTCCAGCTGCTGAACCTCCTTCAGCCTACTCTGGTGGACAAGCTCCTGATTAACGATGTCTTGGATACTTGCGTGGAGATGGGGCTGTTGACAGTTGAGGACCGAAATCGGGTAGGTGTCGCTTTAGATGGAGATGGGTTCATGGAAGATTTTGCAAAGCAGGGTTTGCTTGTGTGTTTCCCCATAGAGAGTGACCTTTGACTTCTTTGGGCAGACCCGCCCCTTCTTTTATGGTTCATCTTCAAAATAACCCACAGAGGGCCGGCCCATTTAACAGATGAGAAAGACCAAGTAAGTTAAACAATTCACTCTTGGTCTCACAGGAAGAACAGAAGTGTATCTACCATCATTATGACTCATCACGTCCAGGTGACATTGAGTTTGATGAATTAATTAACCCACATACTTCCTAGAATAGCCTTCAGCAAACTGTGACCCCATTGCTGCATCCAGCCTTCTACTTGTATTTTAAGAACCAACTAAGGAAGCTGGGCGGTGGTGGTGAATACCTTTAAGTCCCAGCACTCAGGAGGCAGAGGCAGGCGGATCTCTGTGAGTTCGAGACCAGCCTGGTCTACAAGAGCTAGTTCCAGGACAGGCTCCAAAGCTACAGAGAAACCCTGTCTCAAAGAACCAAAAGAAAGGAGAAAAAAGAAAACTAAGGTAATAATTAGATGTCTGATTTTTCAATTTTAAGTGTTCGTAAGTTTTATTGAAACTCTCTTTCTCATTGCTTATATACTCTTTTATGGCTTTTTTTTTTTTTTTTTTTTTTTTTTTTTTTTTTTTTTTTTTTTTTTTTTTTTTTTGTTTTTCGAGACAGGGTTTCTCTGTAGCTTTGGAGCCTGTCCTGGAACTAGCGCACGCCTTATGGCTTTTTTTATAGTTGGGTAGAGGTAATATGGCCTATAAAACTAAAATATGTATTATCAGGTCCCTAATGGTCCTCATCCGTGTCTTAAATAGTATGCACATCTCATTAAGTCTTGGTCCAAATGAAAAATCACATCACATCTCACTTCTCTTTTTTCTTTAATCGATGTTTCCATATTTTCCAGAATTCAGTCAACTTCAGAGATAGTCAGCTGACAAACAAATGCTACCTACCAGCCTTAGTGTTTCACACCAGTGCAGGGGTAGATGATTTGGGAGTATCACTTGTTAAAGAGGTGACTTAATGTGGTGTTAGTAGTTGGTCCGAGAGTGGAGATGTCCACATGCTACATAAATGCTGAACTCTCTGCATCCACCTTGCGCAGTGTTGCACGTCGAAAGCCTTCTTTGGGGTCTGGGAACACGGCTCAGTGATTAATAGGGAGTGCTGTTCTTGCGGAGGATGGGAATTTAGATCCCAGTGGCCATGTCAGATGTCACATGGCTGTCTCTAACTTCTGGAGACCCAGGGAATCCCTGGTGTCCATGGTTTCCACCTGAATTACACCCATGTGCACGAACTCCACCACCACTCCCACAGAAACATAATTAAAAACAAAATAAAATGTAATTCAAAGTCTTTATTTTGAAAACAGGTGGACAAATAGCCCATTCCTGTAAATCAAAGGCTTTATGTACACTGTGCTAGGGTTTTGACATTTTCTTCCTTTCATTGGTTTGTATCTCCGTTGTAAACTACGGGCGTCTCGCCTATGAGGAGACTTGGCCTTTGGTTACTAATATCGACCGTATTTTGTAGAATCAGCAGCACGGACACCTCCCTAGAGCCAAATACACATCACATTTAGGTGTCCAGTCTCTCCAACAAGTCAATTCCTTTCGCTGTCGTCGGTCGCATTTGCATCCCTTTGTGCATTGAGAACTGACTGGAACACATTATCGTAGTCCAGCTGGATATGACAAATGTGTACATCACGGTGGCAGAATCTTAATTTGGAAGAAAGTATGCAGCCTCCAAGCCAGCTGGAGATGGGAGATGGCATTTCCAGCCACAGTAGCTGTTAGAAAGTCCAGAAGCAACAGCGTCCAGTCACACCACGGAGCTGTTTGTGTTTGGTGGAACGATGTCCCGAGTGCCAGAGAGGCAGCACTTCTCCTTGTTTACTCTAAATACTTCTGCCGATCAGCATCACTTTTGTCTTGCCTGGGCTGAATGGCTGCCAGCCACATTTTATCCAAGTTCTTGATTCTGGCAAGCTGGGAGGCAGCTAGCAGTAATGTGAAGGATTTGACTCGGAGAAGACGGGTAGTCAAAGGACTTTGGTGTACTGGCAGCCATTAAGAGAAAACAACCCGAACTTTCTCCCAGTTTCACGTTTCCAAGGAATCCCTGAGAGAAGGAAGAGCTATCGATTGAGGCGGAGGAGCAGGGGTGGCTCTGGAGGTGCCTGTAATCGTTCCTCGTGCCTTATTGTGCACTGTCAGCTCAAAGAGTAAACTGAAGCCCAATGGGAAGGGAGTGTTACGATTGGAGGAATCTCTACTGATCCCAGGGTCATCAGATGCCTACCTTACCACACCCAGGTGGGATGGGACGATCACAAGAATTTAAAATGGGAAGGTACAGCATGGAGGTCTGGCTTTGCTTTGCTGGATGTGAGATTTGGTGCCCTGGTCCTAAGTTTACCTGAGAAAATGGATAGCAAAATAATTTCTAACCTCACATCAGTACTAACTGAGAAATATTAAAGGAAAAGCTTCATAAATGATCCATTATTTTGATGTGAAAATTATATTGACTTTGATCAACGCACATTTCACTCTTAATTTAGGGGTAAAATTTCAGGGATTTAGGCAAATTTCCCACATAAAGACCCACTTCTTTTTTTTTTAATTTATTAAAGATTTCTGTCTCTTCCCCACCGCCGCCTCCCCTTTCCCTCCCCCTCCCCCAATCAAGTCCCCCTCACTTGTCAGCCCAAAGAGCAATCAGGGTTCTCTGTCCTGTGGGAAGTCCAAGGACCACCCTCCTCCATCCAGGTCTCCTAAGGTGAGCATCCAAAATGCATAGGCTCCCACAAAGCCAATACGTGCAGTAGGATCAAAAACCCATTGCCATTGTTCTTGAGGTCTCAGTAGCCCTCATTGTCAGCTATGTTCAGTGAGACCTGTTTTAACCCAGGCTTTTTCAGACCCAGGCCAGCTGGCCTTGGTGAGTTCCCGATAGAATATCCCCATTAAAGACCCACTTCTTAATGTCTGTAAATTAAATTGATTTGAAAGAGGCATTTTCGCCTTCTAAATACCTAGCCACTAGCCAATACTAGTTTGTAGTACTAATTTAATTGTACTACAACTAAACAACTAAACAACTAAACAAACTAAAATAATTTGATTGGTATTTGAGTTTACTGGCAAAAAAAAAAAACAACGAAAAGTAGAAAAGTAGAAAGAAAAATAAGAAATAAAAAGAAAAATTGAGTTGAAGATGTACAATAATGAATATGATAAAATGTTGGGAAATAAATGGTTGGTGGGCATTAAATTTCCAAACTGAATTTTGGTAATTTCAAAAAGACATCTAAATTTAAGCCTTAATTAATTAATCAGGACACTGCTTATAGTGTTTATGTTGTAGTGTTAACCAGAGCTAGCTTAAAGTAGCCTTCCTAGTTTAAGACTCCTGCATTAAAGCTAGGCCCACTAATACAAGAGCCATTTTATAGATAATAAAAATAGAATGATCCTTTTTTTCCCATTTTTTTTCAGGATATGTAGTAGCAACTTCATCAACACAGATCACAAAAGAGCTCTGAGACAAAAGTGATCACATTTCATATTATAGCATTATCCATAATGTTATAGGGAGAGACAGGTGCATGATTTAGCGCTGGCTGACTTCACTAAACACCGGTAGTCTTGGAGGTCTTAGACCCTTCATCTACATGAAAAACTAAAACCCCATGGTATCCCAGATAGACACTGAGTCTAGCTCTTTCAATATGAGTCAAATGCCCAACTAAGTTTTCCCCTCAAGTATTGTATTATTAGGCAAATGAGCAAGGACAGGATTCTTTAGGAGCAAAAAAGTAAAAAGTACAAGTGAAAGAGAAAACTTTTGTACTAAACAGTAATTGTTTTGGAAATTCAGTACTTTATGAAAATTGCCGTGTTTTCTCCACTTACGTCTGCTGAAAAGTTTAGAAAATTCAAGAAGCGAACTGTGCTACCCACAAATTCATCCACTTTTTTATTCCATGAATTAGTTTACATGGTATTCACATACAAACATTTTTTAATTTCACAAGGAAAAATTTCAGTTGGGGGAGGAGATACTTTTTTTGTCTTGCTACAATTGTAAATTGATATGAACCTCCTGGGAATTAAAGTCATTGTTCTTTTCTGTTGGGACCTAAATATCACGGCCATATTTTAAGAGAGCAGAGTAAGCAAAACACATTCATGGGAACATACGATCACTTCAGCGGATGTGCTTTCCAGCACCTAGAAAGGGAGGATACTAAAAATTGAGGACATTGGTGAAAGAAAAAAAAACAGGTAATAGATGTAGTTTCACATTCAAAAATTAAAAGTCCTTGGGAAAAAGTACAGCATCATGATCCTCAAATGCCCGGGCAATGAATGTAGGAAATCTCAGATTCTGCAAGAAACCTAAAACTGACAGAGTAACAATTGAAGGAAATTTGGTTACTAGAATACACATAGGATTTAAAAAAGGATGTTGACTGCAATGCTTTAGTCACTGCCCTGAGAAAATTCTGATTGCTTACGTCAGACATAGTTAAAGGATGGGGGGCGGGTTAGAAAGATGGGGATGTTAAGTTAAAATGAGAATCTGAGATCAGTCCTGCGTGCATTTGTAGTGATTACACTTCTGATTACCAGAAAACAATAAAAATCTCACAAAGTTCAGAACAGACAAGACTTTACATCATGAGACTACTACCAAAGTTAGTAAACACTAGGATTGGCAAGAAAGTGCTTAGAAAATGCTGTGGGGAAGATGGGCTGAAAATGCCTCCAAAGGAATATTCTTACAATATTGAATGTGCAAAAATTTGGAAAATGTTTTCATTGCAATGATAACTATTGTAAGTATTTAATAGGCAGGAAGATAAATCTGTGTCACTAACTACTTAGTTCCAAAGTGGTAACAGTTAAGGAAGAGGCCATGAAATGTTTGGTTCCCCTTTTGTAAACCTCATGGGTTGAAAGAAAATAGAAAACCCAAAATATATAGAAATGTCTTGATATTCTGCTGGACAGAGACAGGGAGACCTGGTGACTCACTGACCAGCCAGTCTAGCCAAAAATAGCAAGTTCCTAGTTCAATTAGCCCCACAAATAAAGAAAAGAAGCTAATAAGAAAGACAGCAAAGTTTAGCTTCTGGCCTTCACACAAGCATGCACAGAGAAGCACACAAGTGTGCACCCATATCCACACCACACACACATATACACGCATAGGCACACACAGACTAGATACACACACAGACACACACAGACACACAGACATGCACATAGACACACACAGTCAGACACACAGATGCACACAGAGATATACACATAACACACAGACACACACAGAAATGTATACATAGACACAAAGGAGTCCTTCACATGAACACAGATTGAAGATAGTTTCTCTTGGCTTTGGTCACAGAAGCTCAGGCAAAGCATTTATCAATCTCTCAATTAATGAGTATTTCCTTTTTATTAAAATTTTTGTTTTTTGAAGCTTAGTTTGTGGTGAGAACCACGGAGAAAATGTACCATGATGTGTGTGTAGAGGTCAGAGGACAGCTCGTGAGAAGTGTTTCTCCCCTGTTACCATGTAGGGTCTGGGAGTGAAACAGCTCATGAATCCCTGTAGCAAGTGCCTCTAACCACCGAGCAACCCCACCAGCCTGACAAGTGCCTCTAACCACCGAGCAACCCCACCAGCATAATTAAAAAAAATTCTCTTGACTAATATGTATATATATATATATATATACATAATATATATGTATATATATTGCATATTTAGAAGAGGATTTGGCTCAATGATCTTTTGTTTTTTCCCTGACAGACATTTGAATAGCTGCATGGAACACTGCTGTTTTCTTTACTGATTGAATATAAGCCTTTGTTTATATGTATGCCTACCCCTTGATTTTCCTTCAGAATATTTTTACTTCTCATAGGCTCAAAAGGTATTTCCTCTTCTTCCTTGTCTGTTGGAATAATAGATTTCTGCTGCGGGGAACGCTGGGAAAGAGTCGGGCGTGCGGGAACTGCTGAGAAGGATCGTGCACAAGGAGAACTGGTTTTCCACTTTCCTGACGGTTCTTCGCCGAACTGGGAATGAGGCTCTCTGCCAAGAGCTAACAGGTGCCGGCGGGTCCGAAGACCTTTCAGGTATTCCTAATTCTACCAGGAATTCTGCCTGGAAATACTTTTAACATTAGAAAGACAAGGGTAGTTTTGAAAGAAAATATATTTTTGATTTATGAATATTATAAAAGGCTTATCCTTGCCAATAAATTTAATTTCCACCTAATATAAAGATTTTAAATATTCAATAATAATATTCTAAAATAATACATTTTTACACAATTTATTTATAAACCTAATTTAAACTCCTCATTGATTTTTTTTCCTTTCATAGTATGTATCCTGTTTCAAAATACCTTATGCAGAAAGAAGTACAAGTCCATTATCAAAAAAATTAACTATTACTACTATAATTATTACAGGCTTAATTCATTTTTTCTTCTGTATGTTATTCAGCCATTCAGTGAACCTGCACCAGGTACTGTTCTAGGCGATGAGGATGCGGGGTTGCAGGAGACCTGGGCAGTGGGCAGTCCCCCTCCTCTGTCCATTCTAGTAAAATGATTCAACCGGTACACGATTTTCTGCATGGGCTCTGCAAGGTAGAAAGTGGTATTGAAGAACTGTGGCTAAGTCAGAAAGTAATTCCATAAGTTTCTCACCCACAAAGCTCTAATGTTTCTCCTAATATTGCAAGTGTGGGTTTAATCCATATTTGTATCTATCTGTAACTGTCTATACTGATTAATCTATGTCCTCTCCATCACCTAGAGAAGACAGAAGCAGAAAGCTAGAGAGAGTAGAAAAGCACTTACCAGCTAGGTTATTTTGAGAAATAAAATATTCAAAATGTAAATAGCTTTGTGGTAAGTGTAAAGTAGGTGGACTATTTTATTCTTTTATTGTTCACTTAATTTTATATGTATTAGTATAAGTCTGTGCACCACTTGCATGCCTGGAAGCCAGAACAAAGCTGCAGATCATTGAAGTTACAGACAATTGTGAGCCGTCATGTGCGTGCTGAGAATCAAACTCGTGTCCTCTGAAAGAACAGCAAGTGTTCTAAATCACTGAGCCATCTCCCTAGCCCCTACCTCTCATAATTTTAAACCTTAGTACCTGTTAAATAGGTCCCCAAGGTTGTTGGCTACTCAAAGAACTGCCACGTAATTGCTGTTCAGGAATGAGGTTTGTTCGTAGAAAAGGTCTCAAGAGGTAGGAGACCACGAGAAGACGATGTTTGGGAAAAAGCACAACAGGCTTTAAACAGAAGAGGGGACTTCTCTTTGAACCATAGAGGCACTCCATTAAGAAGAGTAGTTTGAATAAGAATAAGGGAAGAACCTTCCAGAAGAGGATAATGAGCTAGGGAGAGGCTCGGGGAAGAGGGACTTCAGGAAATCCCCTTGCTTCTATAAACTGTCAAGGCTAGCAGGAAGTTCTGCACCGCGTGGTTTAGTCTGTGACAGGCTACGTTGCAAGAAGAACCAGCAGCCACATATGGTACAGGGAAGGAGCCTGGATTAGGTGCTGGTGGAGGGACCTGCTTTCTTCTGGCTGTGGGATCTGATGTCTTAGAGAGACCAGTGAGTTCAAGGAGCAGGACAGCCATGTCCTAGTTGCTAGCTATCAACACTGTCAAATTTAGCTTCATCTAAAGCAACACTAATTTTCTTTAGGAAATTCTCCATGCAAGGCTGGATGAGTTTTTCCCAGGCTGTCTTGAGCAGGCCAATCTGAAAAGACTTTAAGAAGTGTATTTAGGGATTCAGGCTCTTCTGGTAGTGTCAAGTTTCACAAGGAATAAAAAACTCTTGATTTTCTTAATTTCCCTCCTCCGTGTGTCCAGCCTTTGAGCATTGCAACATAACTGCTGTCTGTAAAACACGTGCTGAGGACCCTGAACTGTAGCTACAATGAAAAAAAAAATAGATCGCAAAAAAAATCTCATAATGTAATAGGTAGGTTTATGAGTTTGTGTTGGAGCGCATTCCTAAGTTCCTTCATGCAGCTGGCTGTACACATGGCTGCAGCTTGGGTACCCCTGTGTCCTGGAGGCCAAAGAGCAGGAAAGGCAAAATGGAGAAAATAGAATATTTCATTCAATTAAAAAAAAATCTCCCAAGATCCCAGAACACATGGATTCAGCCTGACATTAAAGCAGATGTACATCGCATGATCCTGGAGGCAGAAACAAAATGGCAAGTAAGAGCTAAAGAAAGCCGCCCGGTTTGCATTCCTATTAATTCAGCCTTAAATATAGCTTTCAATCATCAAGTCAGTGAGTGACTTCCCAAAGACAGTGGTCAGACGGGAAGTCATCTCGCTTGCCATGTGATTTGATTGGTGTCTCATTAGCCTGCCTTTTATATAAAATTTGATTGTTACACGAATGCTCAACTGTAGCCATGATGAAAGTAAAAATAAGTTTCCTTGTGTTACACCGAAGTAGCACGGGCTAGGTCTTTTGAAATGTCAATATTTGGAAGTATGTGCAGTGTATGGGAAACAGAACCCGGTTTGATTTTCAGAACACCAGTGTCGTCTGTACACACTGTGCAGAAAACTGGGTTGCCCTACCATTTACATCTAATGCTTACTATTCACAGAGTTGGAGAGTTCGTCTCCTGAAGATGGGCCCGAAGCGAAAGAGTCTGTTCTGAAGGCTCTAGATGAGTCAAGTCTGGAGACAGAACCCTGGGACACGGAGAATTCTTCACCGGAGGTCTCCTTTGCAGACTCTTCCATGAAGGCAGGTACTTGGCACATGCAGGCGCCCTGTGTGTACAAACTATTCCCTCCAGAAGAATCAGAATCAGGTGCATTTATGGCACCAGGAACTATAACACAGGGAGAATCTGGACACTGTTATTAATGAGAGTTCTTATTAAAATACTATTTTAGAGAAGGATAAATTAAAACTGTTACTCCTGGGTTTAAATATTTTAAATGGACATACTATTACTATTATGAATAGGAACATATTTCCTTTTAATTTCACTTTCTAAGGAGTGTGTGGTCATTGTAAGATGTTAACTGACTTTGGTGTGTGCTTATCTTTTGTGGTTTCCAAATTATTTTCCAATACACCAATGACGAAGATCTACAGACAGTTAAGGACTGAAGAGAGAGAATTAATACTCATTTCTCATGGATGCGCCCCCAACTGGTTAGCCAATACCGAGTAGTCAACCCTAATAACATAGATACAAGCAACATTAAACAGACTCTTAGGCTGTACTGTGTGTGTGTGTGTGTGTGTGTGTGTGTGTGTGTGTGTGAACAAAAACAGTTAAAGAATAAAGGGTCATGAACTTCAGAGGGAGGGGGCCAGTTGGAGCAAGAGGAGAGAGGAAATGCCATAGCTTTATTTTGACTTTATAAGAAAGGAGTGCAGTGGAATGCAGACAGATAAACAATAAGTCATGCTTTTTAAGTACTTCCTACCCTTTGAAACCCGTGAAATTGTGTATCTTCACAATTTAACTTTAAAAACCAGCTGTGTCTAACAAAATTCCTAAAAAAAAGTCCCAGTTTGCCTTTACACCCTGGTCTAAACTAGCCCGAGCTGGCTCTCCTAGCGCACTGTCTCTATTTAAAGAGGTGATGAAGCCGCGCTGCAGCCGAAAGCTTGGGATGCACAGGACCCACACTGTGTAGTCACCCCTGCCTGATCCCACCACATACAGTACGGGTACCATTTGGGATGCCTCCTGCCGGTCTCTCTGCATACCTGAGCGCAGAACTGTAGTCTCTGCTGCGCTCATTCCAAGTGCTTCTCTGGGTTTTTTTACTGACTGAAGAATAGCAACACCATTTGAACACAATTAAACGAGTGTAGACACCGAGTGTCTTTCCAAATTACTGCATCATGAGCAATGCCTTTAGAGCCCTCGGTACTTATGTCACGCTCGAGTCATTAAAAACATATGTAATTGGAGCTTCTAGTCCAACGATTTATGCCATTTTTAGCACATTTGATACTTAGTGTCCACTCTCACTGCAGGAATTGACGCTGATTTAGGTGTTCTTCCCACCTAGAGGGTTGTCCGCTCCCTAAACCTTTTCTCTAGGAGTGGGTGGCATCGTTTCCAGCCCCTGCCAATTCTTTGCAATAAAATTGATATTTTGATGTTTGAATATGGATTTGAATTTTTCTGATTTGCACTTTATTTTTATTTTTATTTTTTTTTGCAAATCCCTCCCTTTTGAGTACATATCACTCTCAATTTTGAGGTATTTGTGTTTTTCTCCTGGGTCATATGAATTATTTAAATATATGTGATATCAATCTGATCAATACTTTTTATGGCTTGTGTGCTTTTTTTAAACCCCATTTTAGTATTTAGTTTTTAAACTTGTAATGACTAATACATATTAATTGTATAAATCAATGAAATTCATCGTGAAATTTCTCTGTGTGCACACTGTGTATTCTTCCTTTCCTGTCCCTAGAATTTCCTTTTTTAGGATGCCTTGTTTTCTTTTTTAATTTTCATGTATGCAAAAGAACTTGCATACTTACCTTTCTGGGTCATAATAATGTGTCTTGTTTTTTGTTTTTTGTTTTTTGTTTTTTTTTTAACGCAAAACCTCTGAGGCTTTCCTGGTCAAATGAGCCACAAGTGGAGGGGTCTTGTCGAAATATAGAGTTGGTCTTGAGACTCCACCTTTGTCACGTGCTCACAGGCACCTGCTGCATGGGGTTCCAACCACCCGCGCAGCAACAAGGCTTTAAGGCATAGATTAATGAAGCGTAGACGAATGAAGCCTGAATACTACAGGCATGTCTTCTCCATCAAGGGAGTGCCTGTGCCTCCCTTCAGAAACCCTAACCCCGATTCTACAGAAAAGCCAAATCTAGATGTGGGGATTCCATGAGTTACCACCAAACAGTCTTTGGGTGCCACCTGGCATCGCTGGGTGTCACCTGACATGGCTGGGTGTCACTAGCTGCCTTCTAAGTCCGTGCTGGTAAAAGCTGACATCGGAGCTGAGGCTGGGAGGCTAGCCTGCATCTCGAACAGCATCCAGGGGTGTCCCATCAGCTTGCAGTTGTCTAGACTGAGTTCCGACGTAGGCAACATAAAGACTAGAACTTTAAATTTCTGTGTTATTCTTTAATATAAGGATTAGTGTTCTTAAGTTTATCATGGACCCTGTGAGAAAATATGGATCATAATAACGCACTTAGTGAATGGAAAGGCTAGGTTGTTTTCTTCTTGGTTTTTTTTTTTTTTTTTTTCTTTTACTCTTTGATCGCCTTTCCTTCCTGCTCATACTTTCACACGGGCCTCTCTGCCTCTCTTCCCTTCCTTCACCTCTTTTACTTAGGACAAACTCACAGACTTCCTCTATGTGCCAGACCTCCTATTCCGTCTTAGGCATTCAGTGGGGAACGCAGCAGAACAGATCACAGCCTCCGGAGAGCTTCCCGCTCTGTGCTGTCAGCCGCACGATTCACCTTCGTCTACGCTTAGTAAGTGTAGTGAAAGGCAACGACAAAACACGCAAGTTTATGTGAGCGAGAGAGCGTGTGGTGGTATAGCTAGCGAGCTGGATGGGCGTCTGGATCCCCAGCCAGGGTCCTCTGGTGCCTGCATCTGTAAATGGATTGGGCCTGACCTTCTGGATCCCTCCAAGGCAACAGCAAGGGTGACTTGTACGAAGCCTGTGCCTTAGACACAGCAGCTGACACGTGGCTCGAGTTATTTCTAGTTTGTGCGCATTTTCTTGCTCCTATGAACCAAGGATTGCCAACGAAAGCAACTTGGGAAGTGCCTTTAGCCCAGAGACTTCACACTTAGTTGTTGGGTTCTTCATTTTGTGTTTCTCTCCTGCTGGGCGAAGGCTTTGCCTCTGAGCTCTGTATCCAGCCCAGGGAGTTATTTTGATGACAGCATTTACTGCTAAATTTAATAGAGGATTTTGCCTGTCTAGTCATTCTTGTAATTAAAAATTAAAATATTTGTGAAAGCATACCTTGGTTTCTGATACATACTTTCATAACGGTATGCACAGCTTATTAACAGAGGCATTGGGTTTTAATTTCGTGTTCTAACATGTTGAGTTAATATTTCCAGTAGTTGCTAAAGTAATATTGAAAAACAAAACTACATGATTTAATCTATATAATTTTTGTAAATGTAGATATTTTATGTGCAGACATAAAAGATAAGAGATGTTAGTCATTTTAGTCCAGGATATGTCTGAACCAGTCTGTCTGTCTTTCCTTCCTTCCTTCCTTCCTTTCTTCCTTCCTTCCTTCCTTTCTTCCTTTAGTTGTTGTTTGTTTGTTGTGTTTAAGCCTATTAACTGAGAAGTTTTTACATAAAGATTCTCCAGGAGTTGCTTTTGCACCTCATCAATCAGCACAGCCTCTCACACTAAACCAATTTTAATGACATTTATCCTTCTTCCTAAGGGTGAAAGAGTAGAATTCTCCAGTGGAAAGTTCTAGAAGGTAGTTTCACCCTCTCAACACATTTGGGGGTTGGCATTTCTAGTTCTCTACTTATTCCCTGCTCAGAATAGTCTGCTTCCAGCTTAAAATGGATAGCACTGGATGGAGTCACGCACGCAAGCACGCACGCACATGCACGTGCACAAAATACGGAGAAGGCACATTGAGGGGGATGGGGGCTTTAGAGGAAGCAAGTGAAAGAAATCAGGAGTAATAATAGTGTATTGTATACCTGTATGAAGTTCTCACAAATAAAGTAACATGTTTAAGAGACAGGTTCTCCCCATCCCTGAAATAATGCAGTTAATTAATTAAAATAAGCCAAAGGTGTTTTTGTTTTGTTTTGTTTTGTTTTTTTCAAGCTTCGTTTTTTTTTTCTAAATTAGCACAGCAGCTTCTGACAGCGACTGCGCTGCATTTTGGAACTGTCAGTGTGGTTGTAAGGATAGATAGGGACTTCTGACTGCTGACTGTGGCCTTTCTGATTTCTGGCCATTTTAGAGCAAGAAAATATCACAGAATTTTGATACTTACATGGAAGAGTCCAAAGGGTCTTAACCAATTCCATGGATTATTTTAATTCTGTATACTTATAGAAAAATTAAGGAGTCATTTCTGAAAATCTGTTATTGCTTTATCAAAACAAGTGAGTATTTACTTTTTTGGTTTTTCGAGGCAGGGTTCCTCTGTGGCTTTTTGAGCCTGTCGTGGAACTAGCTCTTGTAGACCAGGCTGGCCTCGAACTCACAGAGGCCAGCCTGCCTCTGCCTTCAAAGTACTGGGATTAAAGGCGTGCGCCACCACTGCCCGGCTTGAGTAGTTACTTTTTACACCAAGTGTTTTAATATCATATTTTAGGAAGCAAAGTACTCTGGTAAAATAAAAGTACAGTAAATGAGATTTCAAGCTAAGAACATGCTGTTGAGTTTGGGAGAAACAATTCTATGTGCCACTGAACCACAAGTCCTGAACCTTCTCTAAGGGATGAGGGATCCATCCGAGAGCCTTGTTTGGACTCAAGAAATGCAAGTACCTAAGGACGGTCAGCAGAGGGCGCTTTGACATTTATAAAGAGAAAGGGTCTCTGTTCCAGTGTGGAACATTATAATGTAACTAGCGTGCCATGTGTGAATACACAGTGCGCATGACCCAGCACGCGTGTGTATATTTTGATTTATATATTCGTTCACGTGAAGATTTTAAAATTCCACCCCAGCTAATGAGCTCCCCAACCTGCTTGTTTTCAGACTGTAATACCTTCTTTTTCATTCCCCCATATGTTCAGCTCCTTAG